AGTCAAGTTTGCGGGCTTTTCGGTCGGCGATTTTGTACTTGTCGGATCGGTCGTCAACCGTCCGACAAAATTGGCTCTGCATTGGCGAGGACCCTGCCAAGTGACCAGAGTCATCACAGACCATGTGATGGAGACTCAGCAGCTGGTGCCACCGTATGAAGTCACGGTCCATCATGCGTGCCGACTCAAGATGTACCACGAAGGTGGTAGAGAGGTGACCGAAGACCTCGAGGCGCAGATCGCGTTTAGCGATGGCGGATTTCATGTGGAGCGCCTGGACGAAGCGCGCTGCGTGGATGGCCAACACCGAGTTTTGGTGAAGTGGCTTCGACTTGACGATGAAGAATCGTCCTGGGAACCTGCGGCGAATTTGCTGGACGACATTCCAGTCGTATTTCGCAAGTGGGCGGCGGCGAACAAGGAAGACCCTGCCGTGGCCGCCCTCATCAAGACACTGGACTTCCCGTAGGAAGGGAAATGTTCTGCAGCGTGCAGAGCTATTGGGTCGCGCGTTAGTTTGACCCATTGCAAACACACACACTCTGTGTGTGTGGCGTGTCAAAGGTTCCGATACCTTAGTGGATGTACTGAGTACTTTAGTGAATGGTAGTCAGTAGGCGCCTCGTGGCGTGTTTAACCTCACTAATATCAGTGTGTATATTTGCTGCCTTGACGAAGGTCCCGTGGCCGAAAGCCAAAAGGAAGCGGGAGACAATACACTCTGGCCCAAAACGCCATTTTGGGGCCAAATTCGACAAATCTGATCAAAATTGAAACATATCTAGCTTGAAGAGATTTTTAGCCCAAATCCAATAATTCCACATGGGACACTCGTTGAAGAGGTCCAAAACGTCATACTAGTATTACAAAATGGACCTTTACCTCCATTTTGAAAATGACATTTTGGCTAATCCCATTTTGCGAGAAAAATGAATATTATTTTTGAAATGTCACCAGACGCTTAAACATGTCTTGCTTGTGTAGAGTTTTACCAGTGACCCAAATCCAACAATTTCAACTGGGATTTTCTATATTTTGAAAATGGAATTCTTGATTTGTCCCATTTTGCCAGAAAATGGAATTATTCTTTTTGAAATGCTACCAGACGCACCCTTATCAACTCTTCCCTTGCTTTTGTCCTTTTACCCAAAATTTGGAGTTGTGTGCTGATTCGCCAAATCTATCGATCGATTCTTTGTACTGAGTTTTGTGTGTAAAAAGTTGTGGAGATTCTGATCACACTAATCTAGGTCTCACACTAGTTAGATGCTTATGATGGCTCCCTGCAATCTGATTGGCTAAATCCCTTCTATCGATTCTTCTGTACATTTGGTTAATCTGCATGTTAGAATAAACACAACAATAGAACTGGTGATTGCGAAATCTGTCTATTTCAATCGTGTTATTCTCCTTTTACCCAAAGTTTGGACTTCTATGCTGAATAACCAAAAATTTATCGATCGAGTCTTGTACTGACAGTGAATGTTGTATGTAAAAGAGTTGTCCAATAGTGGTGAATCTGTTAACGTTGATGATGGTTTCCTGCAATCTGATTGGCTAAATCCCTCTTCATTCTCCATGTCCTAGTTGTGCTTGATAACAGTAAATACGCATAGTCAGATAGATACATCATGTTCATGAATTATTCGTTGTCGGTATTATCACGAGCGCCGTCTATAATGTTGTTCAAGTACCCGCCTTCGCTGCAGAGGTCGTAAAAGATGCCGGTGCCAGCTTGGATCAACTTGCCCGGGGCGTCGCATTGCACGATCCGGCCTTGGTCGAATACCATGATGCGGTCCGCGTCCAGCACCGTGTCGAGGCGATGGGCGATAGTGAGCACCGTGGAGCCTGCAAACTCGTCGCGGATCACGCGCTGAAGGTTCTGGTCCGTCTCGTGGTCCATCGCGGCCGTGGCTTCGTCCATCACGACGATGCGGCACTGCCGAAGCAGCGCTCGAGCCATGCACAGCATCTGGCGCTCGCCCACGCTGTAGTTCTCTCCGTTCTCTTCCACTACGCTCTGCAGTTTGTCCGTTTCGGCGGCGATGCGCCCTGTGAGCCGCACCTTGGCCAAGACGGCCCACAGCTCGGCGTCGGTATACTGGTCGAAAGGGTCCAAGTACGTGCGCAGCGTGCCTTTGAACAGGATCGGGTTCTGGGGAATGATGGCCATGCTTTCCCGCAACGTCTTGACGCCCATCGAAAACGCGTCTACGCCGCTAATCACCATCGTTCCAGACGCGAGTTCGTTGATGCGGAACAGCGCCATGGTCAAACTCGACTTGCCAGCACCCGTGCGACCGACGATGCCCACCTTCTCCCCCGACTTGACGTCGAAACTGATGCATTTCAGTACCAGCGGGTCGTTGGGTTTGTAGCGGAAGCTAACGCGGTCGAACCGGACAGAGCCATCTTGAGGCCATGAAGAAGGCACGCTGCCAGGAATGACGCGCGGGGCCTCCTGCTCCACGTTCGTGTACTCTGCCACGCGTTCGGGGGCCACCATGGCCGTTTCCAGAGAAGACCACACCCACACCATGCCTTCCAGTTGGTTTGTGATCTGAAGCGAGTAGTTGAAGACGAGCCCAATCAGCCCCGCCGTCAAGTAGTTGCGCATGTACACCAAGGCCAGCGTGGTCACGAGCAGCATCGACGCACTGATCATTTGGATGCGGAAGGCAAACCACTGACCGGCCAAGTCGCTGCAAAAGTTGGTTTCATTGTTCCGGTCCACCTTGACCTGGTGCAGCCGTTCGAAGCGGCGCACTTGCTTAGGGCCAAACGCTCGCACTAGCACGGCGCCGTCGATACTCTCTGAAATGTGGGTGATCATGGGCGACCGAGTGGTCTTGGACAGCCGCTCCATCTCTCGAGCAGGCTGGACAAACACAGACCCGACCTTGTAGTAAATGTACATGAGTGGCAACAGCACCACGCTCATGGACTTGATCACGAACACGGTCGTGCCCAGCGAAAACACCAAAATGAACAGCGTCGCCACGAAATAGCTCACGGACCCAGGAATGCGACCATCCACTTGGTTCATATCGCCGCTGAAGCGGTTCAAGATACGGCCCAATGGGTTCGCGTCGAAGAAGCGCATGGGAGCCCCAAGCAGCGCCTTGCACAGGTCGTCAAACAGTTTTTTCGACGCTCGAAGGCCAGCCCACGACACGGTGAGACTGCGGAACACTACCATGACCGACGAACCCACCGCCAAGAGCGCGTAAATCGAGATGTTGTACTCCGCCGACGCCTGAAACTCCTCGGACGTTGTAGTCGAACCCGTCGACGTCCACGAACTGAGCCAGAGGTCGCTAGCCACTTGGAGACCCTGCCACGCACTTTGCACCACCAGCAGCACAATCACGACTGGCCAACCACCCAAAGCATTGAAGTAGGCGAGAAACACTTCGCTGGACACCCGCCCTGCCTCGCGCTCCTCCACGACCACCAACTTGCCACTCGTTTCGTTGTACGTCTTGGGCTGGGAGTCGTCGACGGGGGTGAATAAGCAGTACTGCTCCAAGTGACCTCCAAACGGAGATTTGACTGAGGGCGACACCAGCATCATGTCTTGGTAGTGTACAGTGGTCACAGCAACTCGGTCTTCCAACAGATCTTCGGACGAGTCGTCGGTAAAGTACTGTCGGGCTTTCAAAGGCGAGATCGGGCTCTTGTCCAGACCTATCTTGGCCACGTTGACCGTTTCCACCAACGCCCCGTCCTTGATTTCAATCGTACGGTCCACGTACGGCGAACCAATGATTTCAGGACTGTGCGTGACGAGCAGAATGGTCTTGTGGCGCAACAGACCCAACATACACTTGGTGAAGATTTCGTTCTGCACGATGGCGTCCACGGCAGACAAGGGCGAGTCCAAGATGAAAATGTCGGCGTCGCTGTAGCACGCCCGCGCCAGACTGATGCGGGCCTTTTGTCCGCCAGACACGTTGACGCCCTTGGACCCAATCTCCGTCCGGTCGCCAGCGGCAAACAGCGTCAGGTCTTTGGCTAACGCACACGCTTCGAGCACGCTGTTGTACTTGACGCGGTCGTAAGGCAGGCCAAAGAGGATGTTTTCCCGAATGGTCATGTTCTGGATCCACGGCTGCTGGGCAAAGAACGCCACGCGGCCGCTCACCCCCACAGAACCCCCGTACTTGTCCAGCTCCCCCAAGAGAACGTTGCAAAAGGACGACTTGCCTTCGCCCACACTGCCGTGCAGCACCACCAACTCGCCTCGCTTGACAGACACGTTCAAGTGGTTGAAGAAGGGCTTGTCCGCATCCCAGCCAAAGCACCCGTCGACCACTTCGATGGCCATCGCGTTGGACGACACGGTTGAGCTTACGATGGTCGGATCGCGCTCGTCCAAGGCGAGGAATTCCGTGAAACGCTTGTATGACACCAAGGACTGCATCCACGTGGCGATGATTTGGGGCAGCCGCATCATGGGGGCCTTGATCATGTTGAACAGCGCGAGGGCCGTGAACACCTTGGATGCCGTCAGAGTTTGCTTGAACAGAAGCACGTACGAGGCGAAGGACACCGTCGTAAGGGCCACGGGCGCGATGTAGTTCATGGCAATCGTGCCGGCTTGGATACACGACCCCGTCCACAGCGACTTCAATTCGTCGTCGCGGAAATCGCGAATTTTGTCGTAATACCGTTCTTCCCACGCGTTCAGCTTGATGATTTGCATGGACCCAAACACTTCGTTCACGACCTTCATGCGGATGTCCTTCTTTTCCATGAGTTCCTTCCAAGTGTTGCGAGACGCTGTGGCGAGGAAGCGGTTCACGATGAAGGCCACACCAATGACCACGATGCCAGTGACCATGGCCCAGCCCAACACTTGCCACAGCATAAACAGCAACGCAACCACTTGCAATGGTGTGATCCAGATGTCGTTGGCAGTGAACGACACGGCCAATACTTGCCACATGTCGGACGTAAACAAGTTGGAGATTTCGCCGGTGCTCTTGAGTTTGCGGGACTTGGCGTTGAGGACCATGGTCTTCTTGTACAGCAGGTTTTGCAACGCCGACGTGAACTGGACGTACATGATTTCGTTTTGCAGATCGGACTGGGTCTTGACCACCGCTTGGAATACTTTGACCACGAATAGCATGACAATTGGAACCAACAGCGTTTGAAAGTCTGCGCTCGTAGTCTCGACGGACGACACGACCTGCTGCAGCACAATGGGGCCATAAAGAGATGCCACCATGGCCACGAGTTGCAAAAACCCGATGAACAAGGCACGCAGGCCAAACACCGACAAACTGGCCTTCACGATGGACTTGGTGGCGTGGTACTTGGGCTCAAACTGGCGACTCACAAAGTCGCACTGGTTTTCTTGCTGCAGCGGCCACAGGTCTGACGACTCGAGCTGGCGTTGATTGCCCAGGTTCATGAGTGGAGTAGCCCACCCGTAACTGAGGCGGGAGAGGACATTCGCCGTGTCTAGAGGATGCCTGGCGTAGTTTCGCTCCTCCTTCACACTCGACACGGCTTGGTACCGTGCGGATTTCGACATGCTTTGGGATGCAAGTGAAATTGAAAGTAACGTCGTGATGCGATTCACATGAGTCGCGGAATGTTCTGATGTTGTAGAATTTTTGATTGACTGTGACATCAAATGTACAAACACTCTTGAGATGCCGACCACCAGCGATTTTGCAAACATATGTAGCAGCAGCTGGGCAGGCACACACATTCCCGTATTTTTGTGAATGATGGTACCACCAGGTTTTGGGTGTTTACATTTGTTCACACTTCGTATTGTGAATTCCGGTGAAACTTGCAGTTTTGGGGTGGTTTGACCCCACGATGTAAAGTGCCAACAAATCGACCGAGCCTTTTGATTCGTCAGAAAAAATATACACTTATTGTGCTTTCGAGTGAAATTTCATGTTGTGGCGTGGTTTCTCGTTGGAATTTAAATCGATTTGATTGGCTACCTCAGATGAGCTCAAAATTATTAGCCAATCAAAACCTTCTCAATGAAATTCAACCAATCAGATCGATTGTGGATCGGTTTGGTCGGCGCAATTCGATTGCACCTCCTCCCCAAATTTGTATCAAATCGACAATAACCAATCACAAACTATCTTCGACATTTGATTCCCGGAAAAGACAGCAGACCATGGCAGAGGCAGCAAAAAGGCAGCATGCACACGCCAACACCGTTTACCACTGCCTCTTCGCCTACTACAGCCTCGGCTTCTCGCGCAGACACCTTACACTAGTTTTCAACAAGTCCGAACATACCATTGGCAACTGGGTCAAGGTCTACGAAAAACTGGCGGGTACGAACGAGCGACCACCGCAGCCGACAAGAAGTTCACCACCCCACAGCGACAGTGGCTCTTCGAGTTCTACGACCGCCACCCAGTGGCATATCTCGATGAAGCTCAAAGTGCCTTCAAGCGTGTACACCGCATCATGTGTTCGCTGAGGGGTTGCCACCATGGATGTATCGTCGTTCGTGGCGAGCCACTTCTGTCGGCAAAATTTGAATTGCACCTTCTCTCAAACACGTCATAGAACCTTTCTATATTTATATATTATCATATTACAGAGGTTTGGATTGGTTCTGAAATCACCCTCCAGATTGATTGAACCAATCGAGCATGGAAAATTCGACTAGAACTCACAATAATCTGCCATGAAATAACTCGATCAATGAATGCTTGGCGATCACTTGTGACTTTAATTGAACGCATTAACTTCCAATATTCATGGAACACATTCTACACATTGTATTCTCTTATTGGCACCTTCAAATTATGATGTTGAAGGAATTTTACATAGATTTTTCTTTAGGTTGAATATCGACGAAACCTATGAGACTTCGACGTTTGAGGTGCGATTTCGAATTAGCCAAGGCGAAATATACGGATCTGACGACATATTCGTTGAAAACTTGGTTAATTGAGTTTGGATTATCATTTTTAAGACATTCCTCCGCGAGGGCCGCACACCGGGTTTGTCCACAAACATCATTCCAAGTTCGTTGAAAACTTGGAATGATGTCTGTGGACAAAAAGTTTGGAAGCAATTCGTCTACATTAAAGTGTTTTTGTTTTAGGTCAAAGTTCAGTATTTTGCCGTTAACATTTGTTTACAAGATGTAATCTTGTCTGTTTTTTATTCAAACTATATTAGGTATTGTGAGTTTTTCCCCGCTACAAATCTACTTCTACGATTTCCCACAGCCTCTAGTAACGATACCTTATGGATCTGTACCCCCAAAAATGTCAGTAAAATCTGATCACAATGGATACAGCTCGATAAGGTGGTCTACAGTAATTTCATTCCAATGGGCTCGGATTGGCCATTTCTACTTCTTCACTTGCTTGATTGGCTAGAACGAAATAATTGGAGAATTTTGATCAATATAAAGTGACTTGGGTACAGCCTTCTAATGCACCAACAAATCGTTCTATATTGGCACCATTCAACAATTTGGGTTCAACTCGATAAGGCAAAATCGTAGGTACTGAATCATAAAGTATACGGTAGTAATAAAACTGAAATTAACCACAAAATGTTATACTTGTAGTATGCAATAACAAAGTCTTAGGGCTGGTCTGGATGCCACCTCATAAAATCATGCCATAATCCTTTGTTGCAAGTCTGCGAAAATCTCACCAAGTCTCAAATCCCATGAAAAAAGGGAAAAAAAAGTACTACTTACATCGTTTGGGCCTGTTCCAAGTAGATATTTATAGCAAAATGAAAAATTGGTTCCAAGTACAGTTTCCTACTTTTAACCTCTTTTTATGCGATTTTTTACGCAACTCACTATACCAAAAGTAGAAAAAGATGTCCTTGACGTCTTTTTCTAAATCGTGAAAAAAGAGAGGTAAATCGATTTTGGTTGCCTGATGCTATTTCTGAAAACTGTATGGAAACACTTGGAACTCATTTGACCAATCATAACGTAGTACTTTATCTGATACTATTGGTTAAAATGAATTGATTGAAGCAAAATTGAGTGTGTTACGGAAAATTTGAGATCGACAAATGTGACCAACGAATTCTGACCCTCCATATTTCTTGCCTGACAGTGAATAAAATAGTAATGCTGATAATAATGTTTGTTCGCCAGATATACGTTACTAGCCTATTTAGGATTAATTTGACCTAGTTTTGACTTATTTGAGGTCCGGATACCACACGGTATGGTGCACGTCATCTAAAAACTTCAACTGGCCAAATCGAAGAGTGGAGGTTTTATTATTTAACGTACAACTAATGTAGTTAAACCCAAAAACCAAAACGTTAAATACTGATTTCAGCAAATTGAGAAGTAGAATCGACAGATCTCAATGTGGTGAAGAAATTCTACGTCTCAGATTCAAATTTGGTGATGAATTGGTCCAGAAATAGATATTTAACCTAGCGGTATTTTACATGGGCGCTTGGATACAGTATTTGGCCATAGGATGGCCGCTGACATGTATCTTGATTTTTGTATGCACCTCTTATCCGTATATAATATTCGGAGGCATAAAACGCATGAAAATTTTTGAGTAATGAATATGAAATAGAAGTCAGAAAATTTTGTGAAAAGTTGGTACTTTATAGATGACGTGCACCATGCTTATTTGATTCCCATTGATTATGTGTGCAAGTCTTCGATGTGGACACAAACCTCCATAAAACACTCGATTCTCAAGAAAGTTGTGGCATAATTTTTGAGCTATTTGGTGGCACAAAATCTCGAAATACTAAGCGACCGTTTTATGTCATTTTTCGTGATGTCCAAACCCGCCTTTAATGACATGGACAATATCATTGCTAGTACATGTATCAACGTCACGATGTACAGTACAACTAATCGATCGCCTTGGCTTCACTACCGGTAGTACAGTAATGTTATAAAGTGAGTAGTAGCCGTGGATACAGGTTGTTGGTTTGAAAACACCCTTGTGAAATCTCCACGAGCCGTCGCTACATATTTCTAAACTCTGTACAGAGAGTATACTACTCGAGGCCTCGCATTCAATATGTCACATGTCGCCGCCTTCAGATTGTTCCTCGTCGCTTGGAATATCGTGGACAATAAAGTAAGGCTTGCTGTCGGACGACAGTTTAATGGACGGAAGGGTCGTGCAGGATTGGGCCAAACTCAAATTCACAGGCGTGGGGAGGTCGTAAGAGTTTGACAGGACTTGGCAAATGTCACTCATGGAGATTCCAGTCGATGGATTGGTCTGCGGCATAGAAGATCTCATCACCGCGACCGCCGCCGCCAAAGCCGACTGTCGATATTGGTCCTCCACTGGGGTATGGCGGGAGCACCACCCGCCCGTTCGCGCATGCATAACGCATCCGTCAGCTTTGCATTTCTGACCTCCGCCGTGTCGAACGCACTTTTGCCGCGCATGGGCTTTGTTTTGACACCCCTGAACAGAGCACAACTTGATGGGATGCCGGTCGCCGTGCCTCGTGCAGAAGCCTCCGTTTCGTGCATATCCTTCGCACTTGGGGTAGTTGCAAGGTTTCCTTGCTCCATGGCGGACACACAAACCTCGCGCGTACACCTGATTGTGGCAGTTGTGGATGTGGCAAATGCCTTTCTTCCGGTGGAACGCACACTTTCGCGTCCCAGGACGGACGCGTTCAGTGCAGCCATTGAAGTGACACATCTCCGTCAGCTCACTACTCTTGTCATCCACACTACGGCTCCTTGTGTCAGTGAGTCCTGCTGGTGATGCTTGTGGCCTTGGATCTTCCATTGCTCACTCCTCCTTGTCGCCGTTGCTGCACTGGTTCGTCCAACCCACAGCGTTTAGTGAGTGCAGTAGGAGAGTGTTGAGAGCGCCGATTACAATTGGACAGATTAAAGCCTGAGAGCGTACCAACAGGTGGTTTGCAATAATAGAACACGAATAAACCGACCGAAAAAAATAATTGCATACATTTACTACCATGACCCTAGAAATACTTTTATTGTTTTTGATTTTTGATATCATGCACTCCGCTTGAGGCTGCGGAAAACAAGGCATTGCATGGAAAAAGGAGGGATCAATTAATTTTTTATGGTCAGCTACCTGTAAGCCATTTTGAGTCTCAACGTGTGTCTAACGAACTGTGTACGTCGTTCTGCATCGAGAAGCTTGAAAGTGCGCGAAAGACGGTTTCGTGCACTGGTTTCTGACCAATTAGAGCGAGTTGAAGTGAACATGCGAAATATATTGGTCTCGTCACGAAATATATTGGATGTTTGCGAATCTAACTGAGCAAATCACGAAATATACCGGAATTCCACGAAATAAAATGAGTGAATTCGACGTTCCCACGAAACTCAATACCGAGGTCGCGAAATATAACGAAGGGCTCCACGAATTTAAATGGGATTCCACGAAATATACCAGAAATTTTTCGAAATTAACCGCAAAAAGTGTAACGTAGAGTTCCAATTTAAGAGACATATTTTGGAGTCGCAGCGGGGAAATGCAGGCACTGAGGAATGGGTTTCGACTTCTGAAAACTGATAATTCAAAAGGAAACACAGGTCTTTCCAGGAAGCACTGAAACATTGATTTTCACAGTATCTATCATGTCCTAATGTCCGAAGCAAAACACCTCAAAAATAGTGGACAATTTAAGGGACATATTTTAAGCTTGATCGTAGTATTGATACATGCATACATTTTTTCAGGTACATATTCAACCTCGACAGGTTATGTATTTATAGAGCCAACTGGTCAATTGATATATATAAAGCACATGGGATCAACGAGAGTATTAACTAATATAAAAAGGTATTGCAACACAAATTTCAAGGTGGGTGATTGGCTGAATACGATGTCCCTTAAATTGTCCCATGTCTCTTAAATTGGAACTCTACGTTAGTTGTTCTGCATGGCGCTGCAGAAAGACCCAACGTAAAAAACCAATTTACTGTTAACAGTAAGATACCTTTTTTGGAGGCGTTGGAGTAGAATGGACATAACTTTTGAGTCCGTTACGATATTTGAGTTTTGCGTACTGTAGTGATTCCAATACTGTAGACAAGACGCGCCGCTTTCACTTCATAATGGAATTATCAGTTTAGACAATGAACTAACTACACAGGTAAATTTGTTACTTTCTAAGCATTTGTACTTACATTTTGATAACCAATTTAGGATAACTTTTTTATCTTAAAGTATGTCTCGGAGCATTGAAATTCTGTGTTCAGGGTAGTTACAACAGGCTTCATATAATTTATACAAGGGTATTGTTTTATAGAGATATTTTTCAGTTGTTGTAGAAGGATGGCCACCGAGTTTACAGTTAACACTCGACAAAACCTCAGATCCAACTCAATGTGGCCCGTGTCGACTAGGGTACTTCAAACCCAATCTTGAATGACTGTTACCAATGACATCTACGCCGTTTTTGTATTTCATTCATGTGACGGAATGGTCAGCATTATATGACAGAGGTTTTGACTCGAACAAATAACGAGGTGTGATTGGGCATTACAAAGTTATCCTAAATTGGCAATGTTAACTTAAACTGGTTTTTTACGTTATGAGCCTTTTTAGAGGTCGGCTACAGCTTTGGAGTTTTAGCGTCACGGGTGGGGATTCTCAAAGATGGTAGGCACTACAGTAATCATATGTATGGTGGACTTTTGTAAATTAATTTCCATGGCGGAATTCAAAAGGTGATCGATAAAACTATACTAGTATTGTCACGGACTTCGATTTCTCCGAACATCTATGATCACTATGGTGACGTTGTCTGTGCTACCCAATTCCACGGCCATACTAGCCATTTTCGCCGCCATTTCGTTCAATGGCATTTGCGCATGTGTCCTGTCATATAGTCATGAGCAACCAACCTCCATCGATACGTCAACCGTGGCAGAGCACATGGATTACCTTATAAACAAACCCACCGCATCGTTACTAAAGACGTCCCAGAGTCCGTCGGTTGCCACCACAATGTACTCGTCGACACCTTGGAGCTGATACCTCGTCACTTCAGGCTCTGCGATGATGTACCTACACTTTCACGTCAGTAAAGTGCTCTATTGACTCAATAGATAGCTGGTACCGTTTTAGTGGTAGGTCACCAAAGGCCCTCGCCACGGCCAGCATGCCATTGACACGAGGAATGCCACGGATGTTGAGCACGATGCCACCGGCAGCTTCGATCCGCATCTTCTCCGCGGCGCAGTTAGGCTTCTGGTCCGTAGTCAGCGCCGTGGTCTTGGATTGGTTGGTTACTGGGTCCTCCGAGCACAAAACTGCGCGGCAGTCGCCAATGTTGGCGATGGTCACTTCGTCCTTGCGGACCACGACGGTGATAGCCGTACACCCGTCCCGGTACCCCCTTGTGGCCGCCATGTTTAAGAACAGCTTGTCCATTTGTAGACACGCTGCAAAGAGCGCGTCGCCGACGTTAGTCTTGAACGCGTCGGCGGCCGCTACGCACATGGGCAGTACCTGCGACACCACATACGAGCAACGCCGCCCCGCATGCCCGTCGTACACCCCATAGTACTGACTCGTGCCCCCCAGGAGCACAGACGGCGCCCGTGCTGCACACGCCACGTCCAAAGGCGGCAGTGTCCATGCGGCGAGGGCCGGGGGCGCGTCTGCGTCTATCGTGTTGTCGCGGATGATGGTGTCGAGTACTGTGCGCATGGTGCCGGACGAGTCGACGTCATCTTGGTTCTTGAGGTGGTTGGTGCGTTGCTGGGTGACCAGCGCCGTTGCGTATGCCTCGAGGTCTGTGATCACGCGGAACGTGTCTTCGTTGTATGACCGAATACCTCGGCTGGACGCTGCGCCAAACAGTGGCCTGTGCGCCGGATCGAACGTCAAAATCGGGTCCACAAACGTCTGCCCTATGTCGGAGGGGTGTGCAAGGGACAGCGAAGGGGATAATGACGTCGATGCGAGGTGTGCGACGGAGATTGGCCGGGCGAGGGATCGCCGCCGCCACAAGCCCCCAATGACGGACGAAATATACGCGAAGGCGTTGCACAAGGGCGACAGCATGGAGGGGGATGTGACATGTGCTTGCAGATCGCCATCGATGATGGTCGAGTTGGTGCGGCCCATGGTCCGCTTGGACGCGAATGGCGGCATAGGTGGCGTGCGACTGCCGCCTCCTTGAGCGGCAGCCATACGTGGGACGAATTGGAGCACGTGAGTTTGCGAAACGCAAGGGGGGTTTCATATTCGTGTTATTTATAGACAGACTGCCGTGAGGGAAGTCATGAAATGATGTTTAAAGGATGGCACTAAAGTCGCAAGGACGTAATCATAACGTCGCCGACAGTGTAGCCGTGGCGTTGTTGTACGCCCGTTCCAGCACCAACAGACCATGGAGTAACACGGCCGCATCGTCCGCGTTCAGGCGGAGGCTATCGATTCTAGTGATAACAAGGTCAGTGAGCATGAACAATCCAACCACGAGCGAGGCGTGGTATGAGTACTTGTGTCGAAGGATCTCGAGGGTAGCGGCATGCACGGTGGGACTGTCGTCCAGAAAGAACTCGCCGGCAGAAGCCACGGACATCGAGTCGTCATTCCAATGACTCGAAGAAGAGGTTCTTGTTCTGTGGCTACTGGGGGCCGAGGGTCGGCCATCACCAGAACCATCAGACGCACCAACTCTTCCATCCGAAGACTTGGGCGTCAAAGGAGCATCATTGCTCACCATATCCACCCCCTACACACACATGACACGCGTTTATTCTCCATTGCAAACCATCGCGATGAGTATTTATATTTTCGCACGCACGTCGTCCGAATTCAAGAGCACGCGGTGGACGTTGTGCAGCGCCACGCGAATGCTGTCGCGGCTGTCGTCGTCGACGGTGTCGCTCAACTGAGCATGCAGCGACGCCAGTTGGCGCCGCAGGGCGAGGATGGCGTATGTCGTCGAGTCGGATGAAGCGAGATGGGGTGACGACTCGTCCATCACGGCATCGGGGCGAGGCCTCAGAGTGTAATGAATACGCTTGGCCCTAGATCCAACCAACACACCGTTCACAGGTCAAAGTGACAAGTGAGTGGTGGGTGTATTATTGTACCGACTGGCAAACTTGAGTGTTTTGTGGGTTTCGTTCAATCCGGAAAGTGACGGAGACAAGGTGCACAACATGACCAGCGAGGCGTGGGGGCCCAGAGATGGCTGCAGCATGCGTGTAAGCTGCGAGTCTCCGTAGGGAAGGTCCGTGGTCTGGGGGGGGGTCGTCGGCTTGTGGGCTTCGTGGCTGAGCTTCCACAAAATGTGCCCAAATGCCAGCAAACTCTTGTTCATTCCACCTGCCACGTCTCGGCCTTGGACCACCTACAATGCGATTCGAACGAAGTCATGAAATACCGCCATAATACCCGATTCACGCTTTCAGACGGTGCCAAATCGACAAAATGGAGCACCGCCATGTGCACAGGATTCGTGTTGGCGGATGGTAGAGTCAGAGTGGTGACTTTTGCCTGATACTCCACCGTCTAAGGTACAACGAACGACATTTATGTTAATCCGATTGCAACACATTTGGCCAACTGCAGGACGACCCTACCACACGCAAAATAGTGTGGCGTTGAGACATCGCTGCACCCCGTCCTGGCTTGGCGATTCCTGCGTCCAGGATGGCCAGGGCGTGGCCCAGAGACATAACCGAAACTTCCGTGTGCCCAGTCAACTCAAATTCGCCACGAGCACCTGGCATGACATGATCATGCACAAGAAACGGGAAAGAAGGATGGACGTACCTTGAACCATCCGAATTGGCTCGGTCGATGGCGAAGTAGTCAACAGGTCTTGGAAGCATTCGTTGTCAATGTCCACAAAGGCCACCTGAACATGCGACCCATCGTCAACGAGGAATGGCATCGCGCCAGTACATGATTCGTACTCGAATAAGGTATTCGGTAGTGTTTCGCTGCTCCTGGACATGCTGGAAGATGTCTCGAAGCGCAAGGCCAATTATGCCACCCTTGCCTTGGATTGAATACGTCTTGCCAGAGTTGGTCTGGCCGTATGCGACCACAAGTGCGTTGTGCCCCCCTCGCATCGCATCCATCACGGCGTCCTTCAATACTTGGGTTGATGGAACATGCGGCGTTGATCAACCTACCTTGGCCACAGATCCATACACCACCGCAGTCGACGTTTCAGGGGGAAAGAGGCGGTCGAAAGTATAGGCCGTTGGGGAATCCTTCATTCGCCTGTCGAGAGCCGCGGCTTCCGTTGACGAGGATCCGCGGTGGGCAGGAAAGATTTGCTGCGAAATGGTGCGGTTGTGCCTATGAAACAACATGGACCAAGGCCATCATCTCGGCGTCGCAAGGTCGCAGGTATGCGAATATCCACGTCATCCTACCACGTCCATGCGTGCTTATCGTGCTGCGCACCTTCCTCGTCTGGAAGCAGCGGACGAATGCGGACGCCAATCTTTGCGCGCTGGGGCACCGCCGCCTTGCCCAAAGTTGCCATGGCGATCGAATCTCAGATTCATCGTGTCGCTTTCGACGTTCAAAACCCTTTGACAAAAAATATTATAATAGTATTAAATTATAAGGGATGCCCCAACCGGCCGCAGCAAGGCCACGACGGCGGTGATGTTGTCGGTACTGTGGGGCTGGCGCTTGGCCAAAGCTACGACGGCAGCGCTGACTGCATGGGCTTGATCTGCATGATTCATGTACCCGGAGCAGCGAAGGGTTGAATCCACGCATCTCTTGACGAGGGAATTTGACACAACTTCCCACACTCCGTCAGACGCCACCACTAGTGCCACCTATACGTAGCATCGTCATACTCGGGCTTCACACTCTTCGTCGACAACTTACATGCTCGGTCGGGTTCAAGTCGTAGGAAGCGCATTCGGGGTCACAAATGACAAGACCAGTCTGCTTGCATTCCACGTCGCCGAGTGAGCGCGAACAAGCGAGGCCGCCAGGATAAACCCGCAACGGTCTTCGTTTCACACGATGTATCCATCCATCAGCGATCTACTAACATTCAGTCGTCATCATCATGCATCTATCTCCCCTTGGACCTACCCATCGCAGCGCGCGTCGGGGCATGGACAACGTCGACTCTGGCGAGCGATACATGTTGCAGAACGCGACAAACCCTCCACTGTCGTAAACCCGATTGGCTTCGTCGGGACGTGCGGCGTTCTGGTCGATTGTGAGTTGCCGGACTTTGTTGGTCACCATGATGGCCCTGGAATCCCCCACATTCGCCGTCGTGAGACGCGTGGTGCCGCCGATGCGTTCGATCACGACTGCCACGAGGGTAGTGCCGTCGATGACGCCGTGCTTCCGCCGTGCCATGGCGAGGAACACCCTATCAAGCTCCCGGACACTCGCTTCTAACGCCATACACGTGTCCCTGCCATACGCCGGCGACGCGACCAACATGGCTTCGAAATTCTCGCGCGCAAAAGCTGCAGCGCGGACTCCGCAATGGCCGTCAAACAGCGCAATCGCAGAACGATGCAATGCGAGGTCGGTTGTGATGCGCGGCAGGTCGGGGAATACAGCGTACACGTCTTCGTTCGTTTGGCGGGAGTTCCCGATATCCGTCGTTGCTCCAACGTGGAGCATCATTGTCGTGTTTGCCGGCAAGCACAACTTGACAGTTACACACCAATGTAGACATTAAAATAGGTTTACGCTGCAAATTAAAATTCGACTTCTTGTGGTGGGGATCGAGTCTTGCTGCCGCTGCCATGACGACGACGCAGGTCCGCAGACCCCGTCTCGACACTCGACACACTTCGCTTCAGAACAGGCGCTGCAGCCACTGCTTGGCTGGGCCGCGCGGCCTTCTTGCTTTTGACTCCTCTGCTGGATTGCGATCGCTTTAGCACGGTTGACGGATCGACTTTGTAGTACTCCTTCTCTGTGGACGCGAATGCCACTGGCGGCACCACATCGTCGCCCTCGGGTTGTGCTCGACCGGACTTGGACCACAGACGCTGCTTGACGGTCTTGAATGTCGACGACGTCTGCACTTTCTTGATGCGTGTTTCCAGCGTGGTTCGACCTGCAGATGCCGCCACGGCCGCATGCGAGTACGCTTTGAGCCCCTTCTCCTTGCCTACGCTAGCCACGAGGCTCGCCTTCTCCTTGCTGACACTGGCGGCAAGACTGGCGCCTGCGTACATGGTTTGGCCTGCTTGGTTTGCGATAGATCGGAAGTTCTCTAGCCGGCTCATGATGCTGGTTGCAAGTTGTGGAATGTCGCTTCACTGCTACGCTGAGGTTGTCACGACTCTACGTGCATGTCAAATGGAGTTTCACACAAAAACTGGGCATTCGTAATACAGTTCACGAATGTGGTCAGAATACCCACCCGCTCAAAATAGATCCTTCGAAATATATTCTAGGGGTCAAACTGCAAACAATTATTTGATTGGATATTATTCGAACAGTTCGTTGGATTAACCAATCAAGCACATGCAAATATCATATTTCCACGAAGGATTTGTCCGATAATTTGCCAACTCGTGCGTAGCCAGCCATATCTCCTGTATACAGTGTTGCTTTGCACATGGTTCATCAAATCGCGCAAGAAACAATCACACACACGCCGAATGGTGTTGTGGTACTGTATGCATGGCATCAGATTAGTCGTATAAGCCTTGACAACGGGTTGAAATTTGCTTTTTTGGTTTTGCAACTAGTGACTGGAACGTCGATCCTTCATTAGTCGCAGTCAAAATCCCGCCCGCCACGACTCATAAACAACTACCGCTAAAAAAAAATTATAATTAAAAAATAAAACTATTTTATTATTTGATATAATACCGGGAAAAACAGGACTCGAACCCTGGATACAGTAGTGCTACCGTACAGTTGTGAGTTAATCCATTGGGCAAGTACAAATGCGATATTTCTCCGATCGGTAAGTGCATGATTGTACTTCGAAGTATTAAAATACAGATTGCGACAGCAGGAGGCTGCGGGAAATGACGAACATACTGTAGCCATCCTCGGCGACATAAGCGAGGATGAAGGTATGTCTAGACGAAGGAGACGAATTTTGATGCAAGTCGACTTTATATTCGATTCCACTGTTCAAAACGTATACGTGTGGACTTTAAAGATTGACCGCCAGTTAGAATGCTTTTTGGAAAAGTATCCACTACATTCCACACGAGATTACCGTTACAGGTACATATTTTCAATATAAATAAAGTATGTCATAATTTAAAAAGATAACATCGAAATATAGCATAAAGTTAACATCAATGTTTGTCATAATTCATGACAATGTTAACTATCGAGAAAGTACATGACATTGTCGTTGAATTGCTCAACAACGGCATGTCTGTGCGTGATACATTTAATATGAAAACTGAAGGCATGGTTGCGGGCTACAAAACAAGACGTGATGTGCGGCGATGATTGCACTTATTTAGCATGCGTGAAGTGACCTCAAACATGCAAAAAAACTGAAATATAGCTTACTTTGGGAGTGATTATATCCTGTAATAAGCATCGTAACTCAGTCCATGATACTTCATTACGCAGTATCGATGCTGCTGTACACCCTAACATGTTCTTGTGTTGATTGGCGATCTCTGAGCCACGAAGCAGCACATTAAAGACAGCATATATCGATGCTGCTGTACACCCTAACATGTTCTTGTGTTGATTGGCGATCTCTGAGCCACGAAGCAGCACATTAAAGACAGCATTTTGGCGTGAACGTCAAACATAGCGTAAAGATGGCAGGCAATTACTACGTAGTATTGTCATCTTGAGCTATAATTTATAGCATACATTGATATGTTATATTTTTTTAACATTTACATGACTTGTTAATGGAACTCGCAAGGTCATGACTCTAATTGGGTCCATCACACCTTTCTTCTTACACACGATAGGCTATAATACTGGCAGAAGAGGTTTCAATTTTGAACTGTTTGAATTTTGTAGAGCTTTTTGTGATGCTGCTCGAGAGAATTGTGCACTGATGAGTTCACTCCGACTATATCCAATGTGGTTCTTCCCTTACAGCTATTATTATGTTGTGGCCTCGGTTGGGTCGCAATGCCGTGCCGGCACTGGTGGGCCAATGCGGTGGCGCAAGACGTCTTGGTACAGTAGGAACCCATCGCAAGTGCTGAAGTGGCGGCTTCGCGATGGATGACACCAAGACGTCTTGCGCCACCCCGGCAACTTTGCGCAATCGATTGAGGAAGATGCCAATCCTTCAAATGGCAATTAAAATTAACGCACCGCTGCTTTCTTCCTCAGGCCGAACACGATTTGATTCTAGCGTGTTGTATGGTGATGATGAATAATGTACAACGTTACCATATCCTTTGAGGATCGTAAAGTTGATCATTTCCAGCAGCCTCCAGACCACAGACAGCAACCAGCGATCTTTTTTTCATAATTCTACCAAAATACTTAACAAAGTTTAAAAATTGCGTCATTATTCTACTATTAATACGTTTTATTTTCTATCAACTGTAAGGCGATTCATGTAATTTCCGGTCTGCTTGGCCTACTTTCTGTGTCCCATAACTCACCACAATACGTCAATCAAATTGGACTAGAGATACAATGATGGAACCTGCATGATGTTATAAAGTTCATCACGACTCAAAATTGAAATTTTCCTGTTTGACAATTGTTTTTTTATTCAATTCCCCGCCAGTAAATCACTTGGATAATGTATCACCGATTTGGGTGATCCCTATTGAGCCTCTTCATTGTAATATATATAAATTTATAGAAGAAATTTAATTTTAATACTGTCCCTTTATGGCATGTCTCACCAGCTCAATACTCACAGTGAATTCTTAACCGAAAGTTTTACTTTTTCCACTTTTGAGATGCATTTTACATCTTTATCTCAAAAGGGCTTCCGACAACACTACTGTAATATTTGCAAACCGTCCACGCCACTTGAAAATCATGTGTTTGACAAAACCGGAACAAACCCCTCACATCCGATGATAGAACCTCCGATACTTTATATAGGGCCCTTGGAATTGCCCATATGTTGTGGCAAAATCCCATGCCACTCGACAGGTCTAAAGGTGTTGCTTAGTTGCATGTCGACATGAACAGGATCAAGTTTACTGAGCTTGAGGAAATTCTGCCTCTCCGTGAGCCCAATGGTCACATGCTGCTTATAACGTCGCTCCGATATATAGTTGCTATCTATTCTTTGACGATAGGTCACAGCGGGGCCTGACTACAACGCCGATCATCTACATACGTACGCATCGTGACAAGCGTTAGCTACACCAACAATTACCAGTTCGTGCGTGATGTAAACGTGGTTGAGTTAAAAAGCGAGATACTCTACCATTTGTGGCCTCGTACGTCGATGTTGACAACCAGCATCGATGACCCAGTCCACAGTTGGTGCCCTACTTAACCTATTATAAACGTTTGAGCAGGATACAACTTATTCTAGAGATGACAAGTAAGCCGTACCTAGTGACGTCCACCGCTGTCCGATCGAGCTGATCTGAGCCTGGTATCAAGGCCGCGAATCCTAGTTGCTCTGTACAAGCCCGTTATCCCGAGTCGAGCAGCAATTTATGGGAGAATGCACGCGGTGGGTAGCGAGGCAAACGCTTTGTAATAAGTACCTCCGTGGAGGGGACTTGAGCGAAGTCAGTTCACCGGCATCCACAGGAAATGGGAAGTGGTCGGGATGATCGCCCGGTTCAGCAGTGATTGGAGCGAGGGTTGTAGCCGCAATAAGCATATGATCGTGCGGCGGTGATTGCAAACACATCGTAGAGTGTAGCAGATCCCGGCTAGAACATCTTTGGTAAATCTGTCGGTGGGTTGAGAGTGGAGGTTAGGTACAAAGTGATGGGAGAGGATGTGCGTGTTGCCATAGCCGTTGAGGCGATTGCCTTCGTGAATAAAAGAGTGAGTGGTTGCACGAGCAGCAATTACAGCTTGGTCATTACGACCTCCACGGTGAGTGCGGTCGCGGTCACGGTTGTTGCCCCGATTCTTGTCAGGATTGTTGTTCCACCTGACATTTCCAGGTCCACTAGTGGACCCATCCATGTTGGCCACAAGAGCCCTGGTTGCCACTAGGCCCATCGCGGTCGTCACGAGGACGTTGGATTGGAGGCGACGGGATGACATAATCGCGTTTTCTCTTCTTTTGGAAGGCAGAGCCATGTTTGTCAAAGACAGCGCGGTCAAAGCCAAACGTATAGTGTTGCGGGCATCCTCCGACTTGGGGGTAGGGCACACAGTAAGCGTGTGATTGGTTGGCAACGCCATGGTAGAAGCAGGACTTGCCGGGGGGGGTTGACGCAATCACGGTGCGCATAGCTCAGGATGGTGAAGACGTTCAGAACATGTATCGAGCCATCGGCTTGCGTAATCGCTTGGGGTGGAGGCATGCGTGACAGCTGGAAGTTGGGTTCATGTTTGGATGGTAGCGGTAGAGCCGTGGTCACCCCGAGCAGACGCTCGTTGGAGGAAGTTCTTAATATTCCGTTCCAGAAGTCAGCAACGACGACGGACGGGTTGGCGGCGCATGCAGTAGCGACGGAGTTCGTCACGATTTCCCACAATTCCTTCTCACCAATAAAGGTGTCGGACATCACACACAGAATGTAGTAGTTCCAAAATATGATTGTGGTAGTCGACGGATCCAAAGGATTGGAGGAGGGCGGGGTCATAGACACACGGTAACGTTTGACGAGGTCAATGAGTTCCACGGAGAGAATGTCGATACAACTCTCACCCGTGAACATGAGAGTGCGCAGATAGTTGGCAATTACGGCGGGGTTGTTGTCCATGGGGTTGGACTTGAAACGAGTCTTGATGTGCTCAAAGAGCTCGTAGGGACACATAGTGGCCTGATAGAGACGGCGAAGGTTCGTAGAGATGGCTGACACCATGAAAGTGTGTGCCGCAGAGCGTTGATTCGCAAGCTTTTTGGACGCCTCGCGGTTGATAACCTCGCGTTGATTGGCTGTCGCGTGCGCCTTGATTTCCGCGAGACGCGCTCACGATCGGTCTCCGATAGAGTAGGATTCACGACGTAGGGTTCGGAGTGTTCGACTTGATCGAGCTCGAGATACGTCTTGCTGATGTTGAGAGCATCGATGCGGTTGCGCTGAGGGACATGGTCCGGCGTAGAGTAGAACTCAGAGAGATCGCGGGACATCGCTTGGGTCAAAGAGTCCGTTTTCCCGACCGTGTAGGCCAGAGGCCGGAGGTCGTCGAATGGGGTGCCCACGAAGGGCTGCACAGAGGAAGAGAGGAGGCCCATAATCTGTCAAGGGGGAGGGGACGAGGAAAGAGGTAGCACTGGGGAGGGGCAACGACGAGGAACGCTCGAGTAGTCGAGAACAAAACCAAAAGTGATGATAAACGGACTGCTTAGCCGACCTATGATTGGGCAGAAACATACCAGCTTCTACAGAAACAGAAGACCAGATAATTCCGGATGATATTATCCGTAGATGGCCGTAAAAGGCCAAAGCAAAAACGGCCAAAGTCCCACTTCTTGACAGCAGCCATGAATTAATCAGATTTTACACCGTCTTTCTATGCGACATTCGTCGATTTTTTTCAGTCAGTGAAATTGGTCCATGAGCCAATCGTACTAGTACGTTGGTGCAATCATGCCAAGGATTTGAAACAAGTGAATTTGTCAAATGCTGACAGTAATACCTCCCACGCCGAGAATGCATCGAACGTTGGACGCGAGCGACGTTTTCGACGGGCTCAACCCTTGGTCGTACATCGTACATTGTACAAGACGCTCCCGACGAGATAGTCCCAATTAGAAACCCTTCCTAAACGAAGTATGAAACAGAGGAAGAATCGCTATTAGAGAGATTTTAGAGATGACTTCTCTTTTTCTTTTTTCGGAGGCTGCGGGAAATCGCGAAAATCAGTTTGGCCTGGGCAAAACCCACAATAAATTCGAGAGGTTGACTTTCAATCGAAAATAGAATACTTTGGCAGTAAACAAAATATAAACATGTGTTTACATTTTGTAAACTGACACGATTCATGCACTTTCGTGGCCAATTCTGACTCTATTTGAACGTATTTTCATCCACCAATCAAGGAGCGTAATCTCAACGTTGCGCTCTGTTATACTACTAGTACGAGCCAAAGCGATATGAAATTCAAGGAGGTTTAGGTTGGGTTTTTTAGGTAGAAGGTTGACGAAACCGACGAAACTTCAATGTTTGAGGTGTGATTTCACGTGAACCAACACGAGGTTCACGAATCTGGTTAGCGTAGGGCACCGATCATCGGCATTTTTCTAGCCTTTTTTGTTCGTCGATTTCTCGGTGACGACAACACCCATACATCAATACAACGGCAATATTATGCTCCTTCACTGAGATTCAAGGAATATCAATTTAAATAGGGAGCACAAGCGGTATGAATTTTCGAAGTAAGCCTTGCTGCATAGGGCACCGGTCATCGGCATACATTTAGACTTGCGAAATGTATTGAATTTTCCTAACTGCTGGCATGTGGAATTCTGTCAAAATATCTAATTTCAAAGTATTACGTGCTCAGGAAGGTATGAACTATTACAGTTTCTTTGTGTGCTACCACAAACGAAAATAGTCGTACGTTCGGGGGGATTAACCAACCGGTATTGCAATTTTTGCTTCAGGTCAATTGGACATCGTCGGAGTACGGAACATTATCATGTGTCCACCATTATATGTACTTTTGAGGTTAGGTATTTGCATAAGTTGATGTAGTCATGTCTTTGACACGCTATAAGGACGATAATTCTCCTTGGTGATGACGCCACACTCAGAATCCACTTTTTTACTACTACTACGAAGCAATTACTTGGATGCATACTTCTTTATGTATATCACTATTTGACTAAAATCAATTCACATTGGTTAACAGTACAACTAAACCACTACGATTTCATGTACCCCAGAGCTAAGAATAAGCTGCTGCTTCTTTGCTCTTTTCTACGTACGATTTCGTGGCATCAGCTTGAGCATGAAGGAGCTCATGATAGCCGGCTGTGATAAACATCCCAATCACCGACAACATCTTTCGCATTGGACCCATCTTGTTGCGTTTAGGAGGTAGGAGTAGTAGTACAGATATACTCGAGAATAGTGGCGGCACGTTCGAGCCATGTTTCTTCAACTTGTTCTATACGCTCCGAAGGCGACCGGAACAGAGACAACCGGTACATCATGGCATCCAAGGATGGTGGAAACAACCCAGTCGAGCATTTCACGATGGGAGACGTTTTTTTTATTTGCCCAAAATTCAAAGGTGATGGAGACTGCCTTCTGCTTGTTGCGTTACTTCCAATGTCCTTCCAAATGACGTCGGCGATTTGAGAACGTATGGCAATCTTGAAGGGGGGGATAACGAACACATCCATCGGCTGGAAGAGGTGGGTCGAATTTGTACGCAAAAACCGCAGCAGATTTCAGACGCTTCTCATGACAATAAGTGGGAAAGCCGGTGGTAAAAGACCACAACCTTGTCCGGCGTGATGGCACTTCGAGCTGCCGACAGAGCATGTACCTTCTTTCGCTTCAACACCGTATGACACAGCAGCATGAAGCGATGGTACCAGCCACGTGTCAAAGATAGAGCTGGTGTGGAGCCATAGGTAACCTCAAGACTGGCAGTCGCCTTCCGTTGACTCGTTTTCGCCCGACGGTATGACCATCCGTTTCAATGCCGAGGGTCCAGGTCACCAAGTCGTCCTCGTACCACGTGGGGAGAGGTGGAGGTGGCCCCGTGCGCAAGGGTGCCACGGTGGCTTCCATTGTCTTGTGTCGATGCACATAAGTATGGAGTGTACGAAGAGGTACTTCATGACGTATTGCAATGTTTGCAACAGTATCCACCCCTTTGAGCACGTCGTCGATGGCTTTTGACATGTCGTCGGCTGTGTTCGCCATTTTCGGCGCCATGCCAAATTCAAAAGTTAACATACCTCTCATGTTTGATATATTTTCCCTCTTATTTGTTATCACGGGCTATATTTCATGGAGGATTTTATTTTGGCCAATAAGAGTAATTCTGCATTTCTATTGGCTTACAAAAATGCCGATGCCCTACGCATTCGTTGAAAACTTGGTGAGAGGTCTTTGGACAAAAAAATTAAAGTGATTTGGACAAAGGCGTAAAAGTTTAAAGCAAAGTAAAGCAAGGGATTTTATAGTGCGATTTCGGAGAAAACATTTTTCCTAACGTAAAAGTCCAATTTAAGGTGCTCGATCCAATTTAAGGTGCACGCGAGTTAGCCAATCAATTCATACAAAGGCAGTTTTTAACCTAACCGCCCAAAAAATATGCAAATGGATATACAAAGACTAAGCTTAAAATGGTGCACCTTAAATTGGACCGCTTGTTTTAAGCTGTTTGGGACAAAGTGGAGTGAATGATGATGAATTATAACAGGAATCATCGCATTCATAACCCCCGAATACAGTAGGCTGGATTTTGGCTTCATGTGACATATTGTAGAATTATAATCCGATACCTACGAGTCGAGTTACATGTCTGCCTTCCACGGCAGCGTCTCGAAAAAAAGTGTTCTTAAATTGAACTTTTACGTTAGATGGAGCCAAATTCGTGGACTTCGTGGATGATCGGCGAGGTACGATGAAGTGGTCCCATGGGTCATTCGCCGTTGTAGCGTTGGGGCTAGTAGGGGCCATCGTTCCGATGAGAAATATTCTTGTCATGATTGGCAATGTCGTTTTGAACTCACAGTCAATCCAAATATACTTCGAAGTATTTGGATAATAAACCTGCCAATGAGAATATTTCTCATTGGGAAATCTCTTCCATGACCACTTGTGACGTGGTCGGCTCTGATTGGCTCACTCCTCACGGGGGGGAAACCTGCTTACAGCAGGACAAAGGCCTCTTTTGATGTTTTTCCCACGGACCATTGGCGAAAGTGAGCTGAGGCGAAAGGCATGGCCGCCCCAATTCTTAACACTGAGGATGCATCGTTCTAAACGATCGCAGCCTTGGGCTATCTGCAACGTACATCCTACATATGTATCGAGACTGGAGGACTTCGAACATTAGCGTTTCGTGTAACGTTACGGTACTGCATGTCGATAAAAATCTGCCAGGGAAAAGTCTTAAGTAACCGACAGCACGCCCATTCACTATCAACAGCTTCCAGTGTGACAAACCTCCCGATATAGATTCACGCCACAAGAATACGTAGTATTTGCAGTGTTAGTTTGAACACCCTCATACTTCAATTTGATTCGGTATGTCCAAAGCCACCAAGTACCAATCCGTGTCAACGGAGAAGGTGCAGCGAACTTACGCCAAGCATCCCCTTGACACAACCAACGTCTTCGCCCGCCTCAGCTACTGGTGGGCCACCCCCCTCATGAACCTGGGCAATCAACGCCAGCTGGAGTCGTCGGACCTGTGGCCCCTGCAGCAGGAAAACCAGTGCGACTTTGTGAGTCGCCAGTTTGAGCCCAGGTACCACGCTACCAAGTCCATCGTGAAGGCCAGCTTGTCGATGTTTGGTCCCCGTGCCTTGTTCATCGGACTAACGCGACTCGTGGTCATGGTGGCATCCCTCTATGCCCCCGTTGTGTTGCAGCAAGTCGTGTCGTCCGTCGAGTCTGGGGACGCTGACTTCCAAGCGCTGTTGATTCCAATTGTCATGCTATTCGTGGTCAATGTCATCCAAGCGGTAATCAAGACCCAGTCAGATTTGCAAAACGAAGTCATGTACGTCCAAGTTGCGTCCGCCCTGCAACATCTGCTGTTTAAGAAGACCATGGTGCTCAATGCCAAGTCCCGCAAACTCAAGAGCACCGGGGAAATCTCCAACTTATTCACGTCCGACATGTGGCAAGTATTGGGCGTGCCATTCATTGTCAACGACATTTGGATCATCCCATTGCAAGTGGCTACGTTGCTGTTTATGCTGTGGCAATTGTTGGGCTGGGCCATGGTCACTGGCATCGTGGTCGTTGGTGTGGCCTTCATCGTGAACCGCTACTTGGCCACGGCGACTCGCAACAATCGCAAGAAACTCATGGAGAAGAAAGACATCCGCATGAAGGTCGTGAATGAAGTGTTTGGGTCCATGCAAATCATCAAGCTGAACGCGTGGGAAGAACGGTATTACGTCAAAATTAGCGATTTCCGCGACGACGAATTGAAGTCGCTGTGGACGGGGTCGTGTATCCAAGCCGGCACGATTGCCATGAACTACATCGCGCCCGTGGCCCTCACGACGGTGTCCTTCGCCTCGTACGTGCTTCTGTTCAAGCAAACTCTGACGGCATCCAAGGTGTTCACGGCCCTCGCGCTGTTTAACATGATCAAGGCCCCCATGATGCTCCTGCCCGAAATCATCGCCATATCGATGCAATCCTTGGTGTCATACAAGCGTTTCACGGAATTCCTCGCCTTGGACGAGCGCGATCCGACCATCGTAAGCTCAACCGTGTCGTCCAACGCGATGGCCATCGAAGTGGTCGACGGGTGCTTTGGCTGGGATGCGGACAAGCCCTTCTTCAACCACTTGAACGTGTCTGTCAAGCGAGGCGAGTTGGTGGTGCTGCACGGCAGTGTGGGCGAAGGCAAGTCGTCCTTTTGCAACGTTCTCTTGGGGGAGCTGGACAAGTACGGGGGTTCTGTGGGGGTGAGCGGCCGCGTGGCGTTCTTTGCCCAGCAGCCGTGGATCCAGAACATGACCATTCGGGAAAACATCCTCTTTGGCCTGCCTTACGACCGCGTCAAGTACAACAGCGTGCTCGAAGCGTGTGCGTTAGCCAAAGACCTGACGCTGTTTGCCGCTGGCGACCGGACGGAGATTGGGTCCAAGGGCGTCAACGTGTCTGGCGGACAAAAGGCCCGCATCAGTCTGGCGCGGGCGTGCTACAGCGACGCCGACATTTTCATCTTGGACTCGCCCTTGTCTGCCGTGGACGCCATCGTGCAGAACGAAATCTTCACCAAGTGTATGTTGGGTCTGTTGCGCCACAAGACCATTCTGCTCGTCACGCACAGTCCTGAAATCATTGGTTCGCCGTACGTGGACCGTACGATTGAAATCAAGGACGGGGCGTTGGTGGAAACGGTCAACGGGGCCAAGATAGGTCTGGACAAGAGCCCGATCTCGCCTTTGAAAGCCCGACAGTACTTTACCGACGACTCGTCCGAAGATCTGTTGGAAGACCGAGTTGCTGTGACCACTGTGCACTACCAAGACATGATGCTGGTGTCGCCCTCAGTCAAATCTCCATTTGGAGGTCACTTGGAGCAGTACTGCTTATTCACCCCCGTCGACGACTCCCAGCCCAAGACGTACAACGAAACGAGTGGCAAGTTGGTGGTCGTGGAGGAGCGCGAGGCAGGGCGGGTGTCCAGCGAAGTGTTTCTCGCCTACTTCAATGCTGTGGGTGGTTGGCCAGTCGTGATTGTGCTGCTGGTGGTGCAAAGTGCGTGGCAGGGTCTCCAAGTGGCTAGCGACCTCTGGCTCAGTTCGTGGACGTCGACGGGTTCGACTACAACGTCCGAGGAGTTTCAGGCGTCGGCGGAGTACAACATCTCGATTTACGCGCTCTTGGCGGTGAGTTCGTCGGTCATGGTGGTGTTTCGCAGTCTCACAGTGTCATGGGCTGGCCTTCGAGCGTCGAAAAAACTGTTTGACGGTCTCTGCCAGTCGCTGCTTGGGGCTCCCATGCGCTTCTTCGATGTCAATCCGCTGGGCCGCATCTTGAACCGATTTGGTGGCGACATGAATCAAGTGGACAGCAACATCCCCAGGTCCGTGAGTTTTGTCTTCAGCTCGCTGTTTGTCCTGCTGTTTTCATTTGGCACCACGATTTTCGTCATCAAGTCCATGGGTCTAGTGCTGTTGCCACTCGTGTACATTTACTACAAGGTCGGGTCTGTGTTTGTCCAACCAGCGCGTGAATTGGTGCGACTGTCCAAGACCACACGGTCCACCATGGTGACCCACATCTCCGAGAGCATTGACGGTGCCGTGCTGGTTCGAGCGTTTGGCCCCAAGCAAGTGCGACGATTCGAACGACGGCACCACGCAAACGTTGACCTGAACAATGAAACCAACTTTTGCAGCGACTTGGCCGGTCAGTGGTTTGCCTTCCGCATCCAAATGATCAGTGCGTCGATGCTGCTCGTGACCACACTGGCCTTGGTGTACATGCGCAACTACTTGACGGCGGGGCTGATTGGGCTGGTCTTCAACTACTCGCTTCAGATCACAAACCAACTGGAAGGCATGGTGTGGGTGTGGTCTTCGCTGGAAACGGCCATGGTGGCCCCCGAACGCGTGGCAGAGTACACAAACGTGGAGCAGGAGGCCCCGCGCGTAATTCCTGGCAGCGCGCCTTCTTCGTGGCCTCAAGATGGCTCTGTGCGGTTCGACCGCGTCAGCTTCCGCTACAAACCCAACGACCCGCTGGTGCTGAAAGACATCAGTTTTGACGTCAAGTCGGGGGAGAAGGTGGGCATCGTCGGTCGCACGGGTGCTGGCAAGTCGAGTTTGACCATGGCGCTGTTCCGCATCAACGAACTCGCGTCTGGAACGATGGAGATTGGCGGCGTAGACGCGTCTTCGATGGGAGTCAAGACTTTGCGGGAAAGCATGGCCATCATTCCCCAGAACCCGATCCTGTTCAAAGGCACGCTGCGCACGTACTTGGACCCGTTGGATCAGTACACGGACGCCGAGCTGTGGGCCGTCTTGACCAAGGTGCGGCTCACAGGGCGCATCGCCGCCGAAACGGACAAACTGCAGAGCGTAGTGGAAGAGAACGGAGAGAACTACAGCGTGGGCGAGCGCCAGATGCTGTGCATGGCTCGAGCGCTGCTTCGGCAGTGCCGCATCGTCGTGATGGACGAAGCCACGGCCGCGATGGACCACGAGACGGACCAGAACCTTCAGCGCGTGATCCGCGACGAGTTTGCAGGCTCCACGGTGCTCACTATCGCCCATCGCCTCGACACGGTGCTGGACGCGGACCGCATCATGGTATTCGACCAAGGCCGGATCGTGCAATGCGACGCCCCGGGCAAGTTGATCCAAGCTGGCACCGGCATCTTTTACGACCTCTGCAGCGAAGGCGGGTACTTGGACAAAATTGTCGACGCGTAGTCCTTTCGTCGTGCATATCGATGTGTTGTCATGGATAATATACATCACTTTTGAACTTGCGTTGAAGTGACGGGAGTGGAGATTCTCCGTAGCAGCACCCGATAATCGTGCCGTAGCTGCCGAGCACATCCTAAATGCTGGTATTGATACCATACACATTGCCTCGAGATGAATATCGCATGCAAGGCCCCGGCGTCTAAAAAGCAAGGCCCTGTGGCCGAGAGCAGCGTGAAGGTGCGGCGGACGTGATCCTCCTCAACAGCTGCAAGGACATGCAAACGTGTGCCGATGCCACCATCGACGGTCGGCCACCGGAGCCATGTCGTATGCGTTCATTGCCACGATGGACAAGTTTTCGCTTGACGTGACGTACCAAGACCTTCTCAAGACCCTGCGCGTGTTTATGTACTCGAAATACACGCACGTGTTGTGCTTGTCGGCCTGGCGTGCGCTCACGATGAAGGTCAAGTTTGCCTTGAGGAGGATGTGAAAGGTATTAATACTGTGAATGTTCTCACTGTCTGAATGACGAGAATAATAATGAGCTCTCTTGTACTTTGTAAGCAGTGTCGTTTCCAGTTTTCACCTTGAGAAGAGCATGCAAAACACTGAAACGCTGTGTGGAGCTTATCACGTTGAATGCTCGACAACGAGATCATTTGGTATTTCGTTGTTTTTACTTGCCCTGGTACAACTCGTGAGACAACAGAATTCGGTGGGGGTTGGAGCTTGTCGGTGGCGCATTGTGAGTTGGATTGCCGAGATGGGGGATTGTAGCAGGTTCATGTGTGCGGCAATGGACACTCGACGTATGTGCCTTATTCTGCTGGATACAAGTACAGCTCCCAGGTAGAATACTGTCTGTACCAATGTCATCATCATGACAACATGCACGATCGTACGGTTCTACGTCCGCTTGGGGGCTACCTTTGGACGCATACTGACCTTGTCTGGCTGGACATTCTGAATACGAAACGGTCGTGAATTCAAACGTGGTGGCGGTTTCAAAAGTCTGAATGTTGGTCAAAACGTCAAAAAGTTGGTTTTATTGAGTATTTATCATACCCTACCAGAACGAACCCCTTGTGGCGCAGCCCTACCCCTGCCGATTTCATCACTAACTGGCTGAAGCCACAAGGGGTTCTGATGTGATAAGTCAATACAAATATAGGTGCAAGCAATCCGTCCCGAGTTCGATCCCCTTCTTCCGACTTCTACGGATACACTATCCGTAGTATCATGTTCATGCTACACTGTACATCGTGTCAACCAAAACAGATTGTTTGTTGCGAAATTCAATATGGAACCAGATGGAGCAGCGGACGTGGAGCCGATGCGGCAGCCGTTGGACCTTGTACGACTACGGTCATATCTGGAGAAACATTTCCCATGGCGGGGAAGAACGTGGGCTTATCTGTGCACCAATTCAAGCACGGGCAAAGCAACCAGACGTACTTGGTCGAGTTTGGAGCACAACGCTTGGTGTTGCGAAAGCAACCAGCAGGCAAGATCCTTCCATCGGCCCATGCAGTGGAAATTTCGCGTGATGGTGCCACTCTGGGTCGGCGGAGTAAGACGTCAAGAAGCATTAATAAGTCTTGGACGAAATAGCGTAGCAACTCGTCAAAAGCGTTAATATATTCAATATACTCCGGAGTATCTGACTGCACGATTTAGGAAATTTATGACTTTTTGACCTGGTGCCTAACATGTACTAGTAAATAAAAACGTTTTTGAACCTGTTTACTGTACGGTACAGTTAGATCAGTAGTCCACAGCAAAAGGTGCGAAAGGACGCGGTGAGTCGTTCGTGTCCCCAAATGCGAGTTACCACACACCTGCCAACATATATATGAATTTTGAAAAAGGATACAGGGACGCCTACTGCATTAAATTAATGTGGCTCCGTCTGCATCCAGTTCAAGCTCGTCCCCCTTTTGGTGCCCCGCGAGCCGCGCGATCCAGTCCCGGGGAATCGCCACCTTCGTCGTCGGTGGTTCATCTAGCTCCTCGTCCCTCGCCTCTCCATCGTCCACAACGATCACTTGCGCTTCCGCCCCGTCGTCATCCGAGATTTCAATCACGTTGGCCATCGCCCTCGCCGTGAGTCTCGTGAGGCGGGCCAACTTGCCCATCCGCTTCTTCGGCTTGAACGCTCCTCTCTCCCAGTCCGAATCGTCGGCGCTGCTGCTGCTGCTACTACTACTCTCGGTACTTCGCCCGCGTTTCTGTACCACGACAGCGGGCTGCTGGCGCTTCTTCGGAGTTTTCTTCTGCACCACCCCATCGTTCTGCATCGACTTGCGGGGGCGACTCTTTGGCATGGGTGGCGGCGCTAAGAACGACGTCGTGAGGTCCACGGCTAACACGGACGCAGCCACCCCCCCGTTCACCTTGGCCAGCTCGTCTTCGAACTTTCGTTTGGCTTCTTCCAGAGCCAACTGCTTCTTCTCGAGCTCACGTCTCGTGAGCTCCAACGCCCCCACACCCGCCGAACATTCGGAGGATGGTGTCGCCATCGCTGCCAGGTGGCCCCCCTCCTTGGCCCCCACCTCGTCTGGCAATTCCACAGCGCCCGTTTCCGTCTTCTCCACAGACCCAACCGACTGCTCATTCCGCTCCTTGTCGTTTGGTTCTTCATGGTTTTGAACGGGGACTACCTTCAACACGTCGCCACTACTTTTCAATGCATCTGCAGCTGCTGCTTGCTCCACAACCCCATCAACAACATCCAAGCCGTCCGCGACGATGGGTGTTTTTGGCTCGAGCTCTGGGGCTTCGTTTGCAGCGCCAGAAGAAGGCAAGTGTGCTTCGATGGGCACGCCGTCATGTGCTTCAACCATGGGCGGCAAGACGATGGCCTTGCTGGGGGGCTCCACGTCAGCCACCCCCCCCCCATCGTCGTTGTCTGACGATTCAGATTCCTCCGATGACGACGACGATGAGGATGACGACGACGATTCTTCAGACGACGAGGACGCCAATGTCGGGACGGCGATTTGTTCGTGGAACTTGGACATTTGGTGGTTGCGACTAGAGTGCTTGGACGACATCGTGGTGGGGGTCCGTGCTGGTCCGGGGGGGGTAGAGCCAATGGTTCGGGCCCAATGCGCCGCTTCCAGCGCGGCAAATCGCTCCCTTTCCTTGTGTACGATGTCCAGCAAATCCACTCGGTCGTCCGATTCGAGGTCGTGCTGCTGCTTCTGGTGCCATGCCTCGAGCGATTCCTTCTGGGCCATCATGGCCTTGGACCACCCAGTCACTTTGGCTTTGCCATTCCTCGGCCGTGGTTGGGGTGTTGTAGCCACTTTGAGAGCAACTTTGCCTCGCTGTTTTGCTGCTACCACCAGACGCTTCCGCTTGGCTCCATTCGCGCACCTGGTTGCAAACAACGCTCCTTTCACCGGTAGCGAGGTGGCGGCGGCACCCCGGCGTTGACTGGGAACCGTTTTTGTCTTTGTGGGGTTGGTCTGAACATTCGTACTTGGGGTGTTCCAGCTGCTGCTACTTGCTTGTAGCCCATGTCGATGCACAGTCTGATCGGTCTCGGATGCATCGCTGTGATCGCGTAAATCGAGCGACCGTTGGGTATCTTGTGCCGTAATACAAGCCGGCGGCGTCTGCTTTAGCCTCTCGAGCCGGGCCTGGTGTCGCGCTTCGAGCTCTTCCATCTGCCGCGCCATGTCCTTCCGCCGTGCCTCGATTGCCTCGGTGACCGCGTCTCGTTCGAGTACCGCGCCCCGCTCCTCATCGGCGCGCATCGCCATCAGCTTTTCCAACTCCGCCTCGGCGAGCCGCCGTCGTTCCTCGACTTTCATGCGTTCGGCTTCCACCTTGGCCATGCGTGCTTTGGCCAGCTCCAGCTCGATCGCCTCTAGCTTTTCCCGCTCCTTCACCGTCTTTGCCCATTCATTTGCCATCCACGTCGCTTCCTCCGCTTTCCGGCGGGCCACGCGGTCCTCGTACGCTTGGATCTCTGGGGCATGCAACGCCTTCAGCTTGGCTTCCAACGCCACCTGCCTCTTCTTCTCTTCCGCGCGGGCCTTGAGCATCTCCTGGCGTTCCGCGTGCATCTTGAGCCGCGTCGCGTCGTCCGACGTCGTCCTTCCAACATCCGAATCGTCCGACGACAAGTCGAGGCCCCCTCTGTCGCCGCCGTGGTCTTTCGTGGCGTTCTCAAACTCGCTCAACGCTGCCTGGCGGATCTGGTCTCGCAACGTCAAGGGCGGCGCTGCCTTCGTCCTGCAAGATGACGCGCCGCTGCTGGTCGTTCGAGAAGCGTGTTTGGGAGCGACCAGCGGTCGATTGTCGTCGCTGCTGCTGTCGTTGCCAGAACGTGGCATGGCACTTTCGTCCTCCGACGAGGAAAGCGGCGGGAGCGACGGAAGGCCCAACTGAGCGCGTTTTTGCTGCGCGCGGGCACGCAAGGCGGCTTGTTTCTGACGATGGCGCGCCTTGGCCGAGGCAGACGCCGTCGATGGGGTGGGTGCAGAGGGGGTGGTTTCGTTTTCGTCGTCAGAGTCGATGGCAAAGCGCACCGATTTCGTTGTGGAGTCGTGCTTCCGTTTCTGCTTGCTATGGCGTCGACGCTGGGACTTTGATAGTTGGGACGCCGCCGAGGGGTCTTGAGTTGAGGACGGGGTTGAAGCAGCAGTACGGCTACTTGTTGCCGTGGTGGGGGCTGTAGCGCGTGCATCCTGCGGAGCAGATGCAACTGGAGAGGAAGGCAGGTTGTCCGGGGTCGGAGCGGGTGCAGGTCGAACTCGGAGAAACTCCGCAGGCAGGTTGAGCAGCACCGGTTTGAACCGGTTGAAGTCTGGCGGTAGAGTCAAACCCGCCACGGTCATTGGCGTCCGGGCCGACACGGAAGCAGCAGGCGCTGACGGAGTCGAAGCGGGAGTTGCAGTTGGTGGGATGGGTTCATCTACCGGTAGTCGCTGCTTCGTTTGTGTGTGCGGGGACTCTTCAAACTCGAGTTGGCAGATCTGCCGGGCCTCCTTCTGCTGCTTTGCGCTCGAGTACGACGCAGAGATCTTGGCCTTCACGGCTCCCAGGTCTGGTCGTGTTGGCGCCTTGAGGATGGGCCTCAGATCCATAGACCTTGCTTGACGGGGATGACGATTGAATCAATTGCAGAATGCAGCGTTATCCGGTTGTTCGAATGCAATAAGGCCACCATACATTTTTCAAGTCAACATTTGATATTGGAAACATTATCGAAGATTTCGTCGGTAGCAGATTGTTGATTGACCAGGCAGTTGCAACAGACAACCGCCGCCGTCACTTGCCGCGCCGAATCACGCTGCTCACGGCGGTGTTGATGCGCTCGTTGGTCACATACAGCTCAAAGTACGTGTCGATCACGCTGGAAATGACAAACCTCTCCACGAACGCGGGGAGCAGCACCACGCTCATCTTGTTGTGGAGCAGCCGAGTCACATTCCCTCGCAAAACCTACCCGTCGACATCAATCGGTCAACGACGACGCATCAACGTACCGCTTGAAATTCCCCGATGGTCTTGACATGGTGAGTCGCGTCCTTCCCAAAGCATTCCAACAGGGACACGTCGACGGCACGGCTGAGCACGGACAGGAGCGCCGCGACACCCTTCTCAATCAACCAGTTGACCACCGGTTGCGGCATTGGAATGGGCAAGTTGATCATGTCGGCGACCTTTCGACGCAGGATTTCCACGTCGTCGATCCCCATGGCTTCCCTAGTCCCTCCGTCATCTCCGTCGATCGTCCATCATCTCCACCATCGATCGACCTACCGGATGTAGATGGCAATCAGCGACAACGACGTGGTTTCTTGCGACAAAATGTCGTCCAGCTTGGTGTTTCCCATGGCATCGGTCAAGATTGCGATCGTCGCATGCAGGATCAGCCGCTCGTCGTCCTCACTTAAGTACGGCAGATACGGCAACTTGTCGCCATAGTACACGAACAGGCGCGACTGCAACAGCTCTCGCTGGGCATCCGGCACGGCCTTGCTCGTCACGATGCGCTCCCAGTACGCCCGTGGCATGAAGCTCTCGACGTCTGCCACGATCTTCTCCACGGCGCTCTGGATGATCTCGGTCTCGTCATCGTCCGACATGCCAGGAATGTCCACCGCCGCCTTGATCAACGCCCCCAGCGCCGCAATCTGCAAAGTGCACATACTACGTGACGCCAAGTAGTTGGTTATGCGCTCTCACGCTCTTCTTGGGCAGTGGCGGCGCGCTGCTGCCACATGGACGTGACCGAGCGTCGGTGGCCGCTCCCATGAGCATCCCCGCGCACGCAAGAAGCCACACCGCATGGTGTCGGGGAGTAGGACGCCGCCGAGAGGACGTTGCGTGGACGCCCGTGGCCAACCCGTGGACAATCCGGCTGGCCATGATGGTGCAATATGTGTGGGACGATACTTTGAAGTAGAGTAAAAACAAAAGAAAAAAACGTGTTTTTAGTTGAGGTTGCACTTGTCGTTTCACGTCTTTACAGGTTTGAGCAACATGGCCACAGCAGTGTCGATGCGAGACTTTGTCACACACAGGTCAAAGTACGAGTCGACGATCTTGGCCAGGACAAACGCTTCCACAAACGCGGGCATGCCGAACACGTTCATGTTGTGGTCCAACAGCCCCGTCACATTCAGCCGCAGCACCTACCTCGTCACATGAAAAAGTCATTGTACATATCAACTCATTGGGTTGCTACGCTTTCTTACCTCTTCAAAGTCGGCGGCGGACGTGACCGGTCGCGTCCGCGCCTTCCCAAAGCACTCCACGAGCGACAAGTCCACGGCGTCGTTCAAGATAGCTACCAACGCCGCGACGCCCTTGCCAATCACCCACTTGACTGCGGGCTCTGGCAGGGGAATCGGCAGCTCGATGATGCTCGACACCTCCTTCCGCAGCGCTTCCACGTCGTCGATGCCCATGGCCTCCCGGATGAAGATGGCCGCCAACGACACTGACGTCGCGTCCTGTGCCAAGATGTCGTCCAGCTTTGTGTTTCCCATCGCGTCCGACACGATGGCCACCGTCGCATGGACGATCAGACGCTGGTCTTGCTCGGACAAGTAAGGCAAGTTCAACGTCGACTGGAAGTGCTCGATGAGGCGCGACTGCAGCAGCTCGCGTTGAGCATCAGGCACCGTTTTGGTCGTCATGATACGATCCCAATATGACTGGGGCATGAAGTTCTCCATCTCAAACACAATGCGCTCCACCGCGCTCTGTATGATCTCCATTTCCTCCGACTCGTTCATGCCAGGAATGTCCACCGCTGCATTGATCAACGACGACAACGCCACGATCTACGTACGCGTCAGTGGTACTGGAGATGGTAGCTGGTAATTGGGGGTTACCTACGCTTTGTTGTGGCAATGGCTCGCGCGACCAACGTCGGTTGGAACTGCAATACAAAGTACGTCGGCGACGAAGACGACTCCACGGCACACACGAGGCCACATCCTGCAAGCACACTTGCACCAACCAGAAGCCGCGATACATGTCGAGGAGCGGTCGTTGCATGGAGTGCCGCCCCCGCGCTCTGAAGCATCCGACGATACCGGTACGCCTTCATTGCGCACTGTCTATCACTGATGGTTCGTGGTGATATGCATCACAACTACTGACAACACAGTTCTTACAGTATAACCGAACAGTCAGCCGAGATTATCCGGATTGCTGCAGTTGAAACGATTCCGGATACCTGTCCGGATTCGTAAGGAAAAAAGATTGAAACGGCACTTTGTTCTTTTGAAACACCCATCGGTCCATTGGGGAATTGATTGCACGCTTCCTTGAGGACACGTCATGATGGCGACCTCCATGCTGCCGATAACGACTCTGCTGAAAGCACCTATGGATGCCAAGGACGTCGCCGATACGAAAGATAGCGTCCGTCCATCCACCTCGGCCACGGACATTCCGATGTCGCCTACGTCGACGCCACCAATCGACACAACCTCCAACCAGGACGAAGCGAGCAGCCAACAAGACACATCGCTCACAGCCCTAGCCCGAACCTTTTCCGTCCCAGCACCGCACTTGGCACCTAACAGCCCAACAGTCATCAATGACGTTGGTGCTCCATTTTCACGCACGGTGTCGGCGCCAGCCAGTGTTCCACAGGAAGGGCATCCACCGCATTTTCCCCCTCAGCATGCATCGTCTCTACCTCCGCAATGTGCTCCTCCATCAAAGACGTCCCCACTTCCAAGAGATCCCATCGAGGACGAGTTCGATGTCGTCGTCGACGAAACATTGCCCATGGGGTACTTACAACTCGTCACTTCTTCTTCTTTGACTGCCAATAATGTTATCGTGATACCCGTCTCGTCGTAGGCTTCAATTTGTATTGGACACGTTGTGGCGCGACGACCAATTCACAATTGAAGGCCTGAAAAAGGTCGGCGAAACCAACGTGACCGTGTCGCAGTGGGCCGACAAACCTGTGGCGTACACCGCGTTCAATCGCCCCGAAACGTTCCAAAGCGAGCGCCGAGTGACGTTTGTCCACAACAAAAAGAATTTTATCGGCCCCAGCGCGATCCCGACCACCCAAATCCACCGGTACGGCCTACTACAGCTGTACCATTCGTCGTGACCATTCACTTAGGTACACGTACACGCCTGGGCAGCGGTTGGTGGTGAGCGTCACGTCCAGCGTGCACGACGCGCCATTTTGCGACTACTTCCGCGCCGAAAGTCGCTGGGTGTTCGACGCATCGTTGTCGTCCGCCCACGAATGCTCGTTGGTCAGTGGCATGCGGCTGAATTGGGCCAAAAGCACGTTTCTCAAGGGCCAGGTACTACTGTACAGGCGACGTGAAATGTTCGTGTTCACAAGCGATTAAGTTGTGTTATGTCTGGATAGATTGAAGGGTTTGCCAAATCCGAGTCGAAATCAGTCATGCTGAAGTGGGTCAAGCAAGCCATCGACGCGTACAACAGCGCCTATCCGTCGGAGAAACCAGTGCATCGTCAAGACCAAGGCCCAGTGGCCGCCGCCGCGTCCGAAGATGGTCGCAAGAAGGATCAAGATGCTGTGGCGACGATGACGACAACAAAGAAGTTGAATCCAGACACGAGCCTGCTTCTCTTGCGACAGCTGAATGTCGTGGGTGTTGTGGTGCTGGTGGTGCTGCTGCTGCAATTGATGGTAACTCTGTACAACCTCAGGACAACCACGAACGAATCCGTCCGGCTGCAAAAACAACACCAGGTGCTTCTCAGTCAAATCATGGACAAGATGAAGTGCGTCAAGTCGAGTGAGTGAGTTCCATGGGATGCCTCACTTCTTGCACAATAGCATAACACCATAATGTTACATGAAAATATATAACTATTTGCAACTGTCCATATTCTATTTTGCTGATACTGTAGACTGTGCATTGGCCTGGGCAGTTAGTCAAGAGCATCTCCCATGCATCGCCGAATATGACGTTACTCCCCCTCGGGTACCACCGACAAGGGACACCGAGGTGTGGTTCGGGTCGAATTAAGACGACATAGGGCGCATGTTTGGAATGGGTGAACGAAATGAGTGTCGGCACCTTTCGGACTATGTGGCCAGTACGACAAGCCCAGCTCACCGGTCGACTGTGCGAATATGACCTTACTGGTGTGGTCTGACACAAATATGACAGTAGTTAGTTAGTTGATGGACTGGTATGTCTGCTTGAATTTACACATCATGTATTAATTAATATTAGTGCAACTTCGTTGGCAGGTCATAATTTCTACTACAGTGCGCGACAAAAAGGTAAGGACAGGCACCAAAATGAGCTATTTTTAGGACGTTTTAGCCAAAATTGGTCAGAAACGGCTAATTTTTGGATATAATGTACTCCTTGTCACGACAAATACATGGTACATTCTAGAACTTTAGAATTCGTCGTTGTCGGGAAGTTATCCTCAAATTTGTGTTTGTATGGTGCGACAAATATACATGGACAATACAAAACTCAAGATATAAAATACATTCAATACTTTGTTTTACCACCATGAAATGCATGAACTGCAAGACACCGAGAAGTCATGGACGCAATGAGCGTTTCAAAGTAGCTGTGCTCCATTTCAGACCACGATGCTAAAATTTGACGCTTTAGATCGCTCCGATTGTTAAATTGGCGTCGACCGTTATCATATACCTTGCGCGAAAGGTGTGCCCAAGCATTTTCTATCGGATTCAAGTCCGGTGATAATGCCGGCCAAGGCAAGACATCAACATCATTCTCCTCCAAAAATGCTTTCGTTGCATGTGAACTATGAACACTGGCATTGTCCTGTTGAAAGACAAAGTCAGTTCCATAATGTAAATGAGCAAACGGCAGCATGTACTCAGACAGAGTGTAGATGTAGCACTCAGAGTCCTGGCGTCCATCGAGGAAGACGACATCGCTCCTTCCATGCCACGCAAACGCAGCCCAAATCATGACGCTGCCGCCACCTTGTTGCCGGTTCATGCGCTGTTGTTTTGGCTGGCGCTTGTCGTGCCAGTACTTTTGATATCCGTCTGGCCCGTCAAGGTTGAACTTTTTCTCATCGGAGAAAACGACACACTTCCACTTTTCGCCAAACGTGACGTTTTCTTGAGCCCAGAGCAACCTTGCCTTCATATGTGCGGCTGTCAGGGCTGGTGTTGCAGTGCGATATATGTGCTCGAGGTGGTCGGACTTGTGCAGGAGGCGTTGGACAGTTCGCACATGGACATAGAGGTTCAGGTTGTGCCGTATTTCAGACGCGCTGCATTGGCCTTTCTGGGCTTCGCGGATGACGGCGCTCTTTGCTCGGTCGGACAGCTTTGGTTTACGGCCTGTAGAGGTCGCCTTACCGTAGGCGACAGGGTCACGCAGGACGTTGGCAACGACAGACTTTGAACAGTTGATGTTGTGCGCAATTTCACGGAAGGTTTCCCCATGGTCACGTCGAGCAACGATCTCACCGACCTGACGGTCAGTGAGCGTCTTACGTTTGGCCATCAAGATGTAAAGTGACTTCAAATTTGTATTGTCCACGTATATTTGTCGCACCATACAAACACGAGTTTGAGGATAACTTCCCGACAACCACGAATTCGAAAGTTCTAGAATGTACCATGTATTTGTCGTGACAAGGAGTACATTATATCCAAAAATCAGCCGTTTCTGACCAATTTTGGCTAAAACGTCCTAAAAATAGCTCATTTTGATGCCTGTCCTTACCTTTTTGTCGCACACTGTAGTAACAAACACTAGTATTGGCTTCGCGTCCAATATGTGCCACACACACTCCAATACATAAAGGTCTCAAGTTGGTAGATTGAAGTTATATAAATAATACTGTATGAATTCAATTCGTGGGATAGGCATCACCTCAAAGAACATGTTTTACATACAAAAATATTTACTTCGAAGTAATATACTGTACTTACGCTCGATGGATTAGGCGATTCAGCATACTCGTCCCAAATGTTGTGTAAACGGATAGCGTGACCGATCAGTGATCCGCCAAAAAAAATTATATGTTATTGTCTCGATTCGATGTTCACGGTCTACGTAGGATGAAGAACGACTTGGACGAGAGATTTCAACATGTTTATAAGCAAAAGTAAGGTGCAAGTACCGCTGGTGGTTGGCCTGTCGGGTACGCTCGCCTTGAAGCAACGACGGCTTGTTGTGCTTGCTGCTCGGTGGTTTACTGACATGGCTATTCCACACGTTTTTCTGTTTTTGCAGCAAACTCAACTCGCGAAAGTACATGAGCGCCATGCAAAACAGGCCAAACTTGACCACTTGCTCCGTTTCGTTGAGGACCGTTGCTACCGCCGACCCTACAAAAAGTCCACGTCACGACAAAACACACACCAAAGTTGCCCAGCAACTTGTTCGATCAGACCAAAGTCTTTTCATTTGACCAAAACGGCCTTACTTAACCATTGATATATATATAAATATTGGAATGGATATCGTTTTGTACCTGCTTGGACGACTTTTCCGCGGCGTTGTGTGGCCTGCGCGTCCACTTCGATGGGTGTCCATTTGTCAAAGGGGGTGCCAAACTTGGCTTTGGCTTCGTTCATGTCTTTCAATTCGGAAGTCAGCATGTCTAACGTTAAGCACAAATTATACCATGGTCACGGGTTCTTTTAAACAACAAACCTCGATACAAGAATGTAAGGGACCGCAACGCATGGCATAGACTGTCAGTGGCCCTACCTTGTACACACTAGGGACGTAACCCTGGACCTGACGACGGGACTCTCGATTGCCTTTTGCCCGCTCCCCTTAGACTTGTCTTGGGATATATTCAACCACGAACGAACAAGCTGGCAGTCCTCGTCAGTTGTGAAGTTCTCACCCCGCCCGTTGAGAGGGGCCATTCCAGCAACGGGTATGCAAATGTCTGTGCTCAAATACATGCGTTTTATTGGTGGAAATATGATCCTTTGTGGTTTATGATTGTCTCCTCTATTTTTCCGCCGTGGTGGTCACAAAACGGTAAAAATGACCGATTTCCAGTGCGCGGTAAAACTACTAGTATGCCGTTTCTGGTAGATACCCTCGCACCGCCAAAACTGCATATTTTACCCCAAAAACGGTAAAATATCGTTTACCGTCGCACCATTGGGGATGCCCTCAACCCGTGCAGAGCCACGGATTCAATGAGGTCGCCGGGCCAGTTGAACGTGGCGTGCAGCAATGCTTGGTTACCGTTGACGGAAAGGCACAACCCTGGTCGCAACCACATCGACGCGTCGGTGGAAATATTTTTAGGCCTTCTGACCGAAAATTTGAAAGAATCAAGGGTCAGAGTTGAAATGTCTGCAATACCGGGAACGTTGTCAAAAGCTCCTAACGATGGGGTGCGGAATCCAACCGCCCAAACATTGCCGGAATAGAGGGTAACCGTAGCGTCCTTCATCAAAGGATGATGCGGGGTTGTTAAACAACAATTGAGACGCAGCGGTGGTGTAGCGATGTGACAGGTGGGTTAACGGCTTGCCACCACCTTGCCCGCACCCAGCTCCTAAGTACCTGGCTGCACCCTAGCTCATGCTTGCCTGGGAACGTGTCTCAAAGGCAAGTATAGCTTAGAATCGCTAGCCCAGTGAAGTTCCCCAATGTCTCAACCGCACCCGCATCCATTGTATACAAAAATGCATATTAGTGTAGAAGTAGTGAAGTAGACTAAGAAGATTTCATAGTGATGAGGATTAAGGAGATCTTTGTAGATCTTCCGTTAATTCATTGTGCATTTTGCCCTCAACTACACACGCTTCCTCCCGCAGTGCTATAGGTGGCATGGACGAGAGCAGCAAGGAACTTCATGGCAAT